CCAAATCAACGTGAACGGCTACAGCCGTATTACCGAAGTCTAAAAGTTTGGATTCCTAGCTAATTTTGAAAGGAAAAGGAAACAGGCATATTCAAAATGAGAAATAACTTTAATGGGCTTTTTCAATGTTTACGTCGAACGTCTCTTAAATGAAGCCAACTTGTATGTACTACAAATACTATATTACTTTCAATTTTTTTCATTTGGATGTCCGGTTTATTAAAACCCTGCTCTTCTTCTACCGTTGTTCCAACTAGCCCATTTTTGTCGTGACTGGACGTTATCGTTACAACGTTTTAATCAAGCTGAAATGTCAACTTTATTTGGTTTCGAATTTATATATTTTTTACTTATGGGTGTGCATGTGCCAAGCGGGGTGAGGGGGCAGTGAGGTTGGCTGTGAGTATTTACACAACATGCCGTATTTTAGGAATTAGTAAGAATAAGGGCGAATTGATATGAGAAGTATGCGAATCAATGAGAAGAGACGAATCTATGTATTTTTAACCTCAGAGAAAAGTGTCCTATCCCTACATAGCCTAGTAAGCGTACACATCGATTCGCAATGAATTTGCAGAATGGGTTTGTCAATTCGTGGATCGATTTTCAACCGCTAGATCAGTTTGTAATACGAATTCGCTAATTCATTTTTACGAATCAATGTAGTTCCAAAAACAGTGATCACGGATTTGTAAACTAATTTTACGAATTAATTGCGAATTGATCAGCATAGTGTTTGATCTATTCTCTGTTTACGAATTCGCAAGAAGAATTCGTAAAAGTTTTTAAGAGTATCTGTACGAATTCGATACAGTTCGCATCAATTCGGTACGAATTCGCAAAATAAGGGTAAAACGGGAATTATGACATCGTTTTTACGCTTAAAAATTGCGATTCGTCAATTAGTCTTTAGACACTTTGTCCACACATCCCTATCAATTATGTACACATTGCTACTTGAATTTACGCATATTTCTTATCGGTAACAGATTAGTTTCCAAAGAACATCATAATAAAAGAGCTTGTGTAATAAGCCATGCAAAAAAGAAAAAATTTTATTCATATTTATTTTCGCTTTGATTTGGGAAGTAATCTTTTGTTAAAAAAATGTTTATATTTCGCTTTCAAATCGTTCTTTTTTCTAAGACAAGTATTTCAGTGTTCAATCAAACCAAAATAAGATTATAACAAACACAGAAAACTACTTTTACAAGAAATGCAAATGCCATTGCGTGTGTGTGTGTGTATACAAAATAAAAGAAATTTTGGGCAAAAACAAATCTCGACCAACTCAGAAATCGTTTATAAATATGTCTATGATATAAACATAAAAATATTCGATAATATAAATTTTTTCTTCAACTTTATATTAATTTTTTTGATAATAATAGAAAATAATATAAAACATTTACCTTGAACTTACATATTTATAACTCTGATTATACCTATGAAATTTTTTTGAAATGAAATAAAATTATCCCGTTCGTTATCTATAGCAAAAACTGATTTAAAAAAAACTGACATTTACTTTTTCTTTGACAGCTGGATAATAGAAACTGGAAAACGTTTATCTTTTATAACAGATGTGAAATGCAGAGCAGCATCTTAAAATTTTCCTTTTACCATAATCTTGTAGTGTTCTTCAAGTTGATTTGATTTCATTACAAATAGTTTTTTGACTAAAAAAACGGTAACTGTTCAATTCTGAGAAGATGCTTAACGCATATTACTGTTCAGCTAAATGAACTCTGTCGATCCCTGAATAGAATGTACTCTTCTGCTTATTTTCTATTCATGAATAAACGTTTTTCCGTTAAACAGGCGAGACATAGGGAGACAGGAAAAGTGAGTGAATTATTTGTCTAATCAACGAGTTTTTTGTTGAAACAGCATACCAGTTCATGTACAAAATTCAATTCTCTAGTAATCTAATGCTAAAAATAAGAATCGTTGTTGTGTAGACCACGATTGTTGATTAATTCAACCCTTCGTGTCTTTTTTCAGTTGTAGATCGGGTTTTAGGAAGAAAAGACTTCATCTTCATTCAGTTTCAAATGGTCGTGTGGAGCACATATTTTCGTCATGTTCATGATCAAGACTAACTGTCTATGAGCTCAAAAAGCTTTTTAATTTAATTTCTTTTTTCTAAAAAAGAATCAGCCGAACGGGACGTTACGCTTACAATTCCTATATGTTAGTAGTTTTTCTCTTTTAGGACAGCCTTCGCCAGAAAACTAACCTAGATACCGTGAGGCTGTTAGAGGAGTATTTTACTTTATTTTTATTTGTCTCATTCGAAAGAGCATACAAAATTACCACATACCCTGCAATAACACATTCTGAAAGTGTATTCTTAAAAAACTACAGGCCAAACACTATTGAAAGTCACTCTTTTTACCAAAAAACGTGAATTTTCGCAAATTTTCATCTTTTCCGATTTTCTGAAAAACTATCAAACTCATATGATACGGCTCGTTTGAAAGAGGAATGTTTACTCTATAAAATCATATTTAGACATAATAATAGATGTAACTATCTAGGACTAATAATTGCAAACTAAAAAATTCCGTATTTTTAAAATTGCATTTTTCTCAGTACTTTTTAAATATATGCCATGCATATGGCGGACCCAAAATAAATCTTATTTCATGTTTTAGAGCAGATAATTTGGCATCGATTCATATGTAATAGAACATTTAAAACACTAGGATGATGTACTTTTAAATCAAATAGTTGTGATAGACATAGGTATTATCATTTTCTAACTTTTCTAAATTTTGATACAAATATCAAACATCTGGACGTACAAAACGTTTCTGAGTCATTACAGATGTAGAGCAAACATTTTTCTATAAAATGAGATGTCGGCGAGCTCTTTACGGTGTTTTTTTTGTGCTTTTACACGCGCTTTACAACAAGCACTATATCTGAGTCCTGTTGCCTGCTGTTTTATGGCTCAATTTTGATCCATTGATCAAATGCAAGAATTTACTTATGGTTGAAGAGAACATCGAAAGTTACGTCTAATGGCATGCTTTTTTATCTTCATCAGTTCATATTAGTAGAGAAAAAAAAATTTTAATTTTAAAAACTGTATATGACTCATGTGAAAGCTTGATAAAAATGATTTTTACATAACCGTCTGAAAATCTTATATAAATCGACTTGCGGTACCTTTCACCAGCTTGTCTGACTTTCTTCTTAAAAAGGTCTACTTACTGAGGTAAACACCAGTAGAAGATTCAAAGATGATCCAAATTTTAAATTATAATTTGGGGTCGTGTTCACAGAATGGTATCCTTCAACTGATTATTTTGCTATAACTTATAGCAAAGAAATAATAAGCTGAAGGATAAAGTAAGATTAAAAGTTCCATTTCGAATCGAAACGAAACTTTTACATACAATATAACAGTAAACATTGCAAAGGTTATTGTTGATTTAGTTGAAAACTTAAAGATGTATTCATGTGTATTCACGTGTATTTAAAATTTCTTATTCAAAAATGTATAGACAAGCACGCGAGAGAAGAGAAAAACAATATACATTATAAGGTGCATACAATGCAAAATTCGAGCAGTTTTTGTTTTTCAACAGAAGGTACATATTCTGATGTAGAATTTCATGCTGATCACGAATATGACCTTAAAAGTTAAAAAAACCTTTTCTTTGGGGAGAAAATTGCAAAATACTGTGAGCCACCAAAAACTTTGACCTTCCGAAAAACCCTCATAACTTTTTTTGGAAGCTCCTATCGACTCAAACTTTGTTTCTGTTGGATTCCTCGTCGAAAAATGAGTCTAGCCCAACCAATTTCAGATTGAAATACCGTAATCTGAAACTTCGGCGAAGCTCAAAACCGACAGACCTAAAAAATGAGGTCCCTCCACCAAAAACCTATCTAGTTTTTCTGATAAGGAGCTAACTCATGAATCTTATGCCATTCGATAGCCCTATATGCCAGCTATAAAATGACGAGGGGGTTTTAGGAAAAAAACATTTTTCGCCGAGAAAATTCATTTTTTCTAAATAAGAGGCGAAAAACTCGGAATTCTGACCGTAATTCCCAATTTTCTCGATCAGAACTCAACTTTTGAACAATAAAATATCATTTTCGGAATCAGAATCAAAAACTGAGTCGATTGATATGTATTTCGTAAGTTTTAATTGATTTTCAATTTTGAGTGAAAATCTCGGTAATTTTTCAACATGAAAATTCGAAAAAAATCAAAGTAGTCAGATAGGATAGACATACGTATCAATCGACTCAGTTTTTGATTTATCCGCGTTGCAGTTTGCAGGTTACCAAAAAAATCTTTCACCCTCGGCATAGGCAGAGGTTGAGGGTGCAAACTTCTGCACTGCCCTGCCCTGCAGGTTGACTGCAGGTGGACCCTAAGGTGAGGTATAACAATTTCTTTTCCTAGTGACCACTATCATTCTGTATTACACGCTGATAATTATAGACTGTATCACCAGTTACGATTCACTATCCTTGTTCTATATTTTTCTCTTTTTGTTATCGTTACAGTCGTTTGTCATCCATATACTATACCTAGTGCGCATACTAAAAGAAACATTATATACAATAAGAACGAAATTCATTGTTTTTCTTTATTCTATATTTTTCGTTTACTTTAGTTTAAACTTCATTCATTTAAGAAAGAGAAATAAGAATTCTACACAGATGCGGTCTGGGCCATTATATTAGAGGAAAATGACATATCAGATGGTATAAGTGATTACGGATAAAACGTTTCTATCCTTCATCTTAAAGTGTCTAGTAGATATACAAAAAAAACTGTTAGTTAGTTTCTTTTCGTTAAGAGATCATTCTGACCTTCAGTGTGATCAGTATTTATCTTTGTCTCCTCTCTATTTTCATTCTCCACACAAAAACGTCTTTCCCTGCAGGGAATGCAGGTAAAATCTTCTCCCCTCCAGGGAGTGCAGGCAGGAAAACATTCTTCTTTATCTGCCGGCCATTAGTGGAAATTTTTTTTATTCACCTGCAAACTGCAACCTACCTGCACTGCCTGCAGTTTGCAGGCAGTTTACCATGCAGGTGATCAGCTCTGATTGATATATATTTGGCGAAGCATAATGTTCAACAAATGTATAATTTTGTTGCACATAACTGTTTTTAGTACGACCGTCCATTAATGATTTAAATGCATTTGAAGATTTTATATTCGTATAATTATTTGTATTCATATTATATGTTTGAAATACGTTAATATATCGAATACAATCTTGTTGTGTCATACTTCTATTATAACTAGGTAATGTTTGAACGGTAATATATAAAACCGGTAGTTCTAAAATAAAACGAGTTTTAGCTGTTGTTGCATTCCAGATACTTCGACTTAAAATATTTGTACAACCTATAAATATAGAATATCATTACAACGACACATTTCATCGACAAAATATCAGCACTTTATTTTTTTAAAATTGTCGTTGAACTTTACTTTTTGGTGAAAGATAATCATTATCGTTGCTTTGTGACGAAGTTTTTTTAATTACCAATATAAATACTAACGTCAGAGTTAAAGCCAAAACAATAATCGATAATAACATTCCAATTAGAATATAAAGACGTTTTCGTCTCTGAAGCTTTCTGTGTTCTTTGACGTTTACGTCATTAACTGAGGAAGTGAATGATGGATCGTCATCTAGAAAAAAGAGACGGATAATGTATCTCGAAGAAATTTACTTGCATTGTAGCCCTGAAAAGTCATAGAGATGAATATCAATGGTAGTACAACTCTAACTGGTTTCTAATATCGTCCACAAGGAATGAAAAAAACTTGACTTGATTTTTCATGGTTGCTCAATCATTGAAATTCAAACAGATTTCTTGCAAAAAACGAACAAAATATTTTTAGCAAGACTAAAAAGAAAAAAACTCTTCTTGGTCTAGACTACTTGTATTATATTTTCATGGACTAGAGAATCGACGAGTTTAGAGAATTAACTCGTTTATGCGTACACAGAATGCAGGTACCATACCAACCAATAACGATGACTGAATCTGTCAACTTTTATTCTCTGCTTCAAAATCAAAGTTGGAACCGATTGACATTTGTAGTAGGTCGTACCGGATCAATTTTTCAATCAACAAGGAAAAACATGTTGTCGTTTCGAATGAAACTACAAAAGCACGGACAAAAATCGATCAGAAATTAACCGTTCGACTTTTAATGTATTTGCGTGTACAAAAAATTGTTGTCATAGTAATTTTAATATTTTTAAAAGAAACTTTTTTATAGGCTTCCCTACCCTGTGCGCTGAAAAAATTGCAAAAAAATTTTTTTATAAGCTTAAAAGTCTTCTGGAGTTAAAAATTTGTTTGCTGAGAAACTGAACTTTTGCAGATATTCAAAAATTACAAAAATGTTAAGAAACAGATGGGGGCTTGCACGCAGCTCCTCCGAGTATTAACTATGAAAAACTATATAGAATTGTCCAGAAAACGTCTAAGAAAACAGTCGTTTGAGCGATGGTCAAAAACCGGGAAAATACCCGTTTTGCGAAAAATACCCATAACCCCGCCGAGAAAGATCGTAGAGATTTGCGGTTTCGATATTCAGATTCAGCATCAAAAACTGAAACTAGTCATGTAGTCTTCAGATCTTCAAGACGAGGAATGGTCTTTTGCGGAAGGCCGAAACTACAGTGCCGAAAATGCGACAACTGTTTTTGCAAATACTTCAACCCCGCCTGGAGAGGTCGTAGAGCCAAAATTTTTACACCGTTCGATTCGCCGTTTAAAGCACTACAAAGTAATACGCCCACTTTTTCGAGATTTGTTTTTGTTCAAAAGATATTCGACCTACATCGAATAGAACAGCACTTTCGTCCAAATCCTTCAGATCATCGGGTCCCAGACGAGTCAGTTCTCATGAGAGTGAGCTGAAACTACGGTTTTAGAGGTAGAACGTGATCCTGAATCCGATGGACTCACTTTCAGAAACCTATAAGGTTTCCAGGGTGGGTCGCTGGAGACCCGGATCTCCAGAGACCCTCTCAAAACCCTAAGATCCTGAAAGTGATCACACTCGATAGAGAATCAAATTGTGAGCAGAATGAGATCAACCAGAGCCCTCTGCGCTCACATCTCGGAGAGTTATGAGCCGAGCACAGATGTGAAATCGAAAAGCCTCGAGTTTTTCATTTTTTTAACTGTAAATCCACGGGATGTGATCGCAGAGGGCTCTGGTTGGTCTCATTCTGCTCATAATTTGAGTTTTGAGAGGGTCTCTGGAGATCAGGGTCTCTGGAGATCAGGGTCTCCAGCGACCTACCCTGGAAACCTTATAGGTTTCTGAAAGTGAGTCCATCGGATTCAGG